AAGATTTAGACAAAGGAAGCTTCCTCAACTACTAAAATAAATGCAGTATATATTTTTTTCCAGAGAATACACAGGCATTAATATCTTACTTTATTATTTGTTTGAAAGAAATCTCTTCTCTAGGAACTTAGCAATTAAGATTTCTTATACCATCCAATATTTATTTACTCATTTTAGTCAAGTCAAAGAGATAGTGCAGACATATTTAAAAATTTTCAACATACCGGTTTTTTGGAGACTCTGACTTCAACATCAGGGCCAGTGAAAATAAAGCCCTTTAGTAGGAGGATTTTCCAACATTGCTTCTGCTATAAAACATACCTTACATAAAAAAAAAAAAAGAGAAGTTGAGTACTTGAGAACTGAGTACACAAAAACTCTGTCAACTATTCAGTCTTGCTAAGCCATGTTAAAAAAAAAGGCTTATGTTTAGTCAAACCTGAAATTCTAAAACACAATTTTATTCAATGACTTCAAAGTGCAGGTACAGTTCTAAGCACTCATTTTCTTATTTGCTCTTTTACAATTTCTCTATGAGGTAGGTAATATTATTATTCTCATTTTACTTATGAGACGACACAAGAGACCTAAAATTATATAGCTAGATTGAGGAACTGGGATTTGAGCTCAGAATGTGCATATATTCAGAACCTGTGCCTTTAATTACAGTATGCTAGAAAAGTCGCTGCAGGAGACGGTGGAGGGAGTGAATTCAAGTACTAATCAACATTGTAAGAACTTTTTTTCCTCCTTTTTTTATCTTATCATTTTTACATTTACTTCATTGTAAGAACGTTTTAAATGCCATAATGTACCCCGACCCAGCACACACAATAAAGGAAAAAAAAAGTCTTCAAGTTTTATTAGGCATAACATATTTACAAAGCTTTCTGAAGTTAAAAAAAAAGTATTTAAACAAAAGTGGCTCAAAGCTAAACCTACATATTTGGAAGAAACATTTCTCAAGAACTCCCAGAGTAGAGTGTAAACCATACTGCAATTTAAGAGATTTTGTTTGTTTTTTTCCTTGAACTCTATAGTTAGTTAAGCTTTTGCCCTCTGCAGTGTGGAAATCAACAAATCATTTCTTGAGTAACCATTAATATACATGACTCTCTTTTAATTGGTATAGAAGGGGAAACAACTCCAACCAGTTGTTTTAAATGAAGTCAGAACCTCCCTTTTCTGGACATTTTGAAATATGTAAAGGCATTTATGATTATCAATACAAATGAGCACTGATTGGGCAGGGGCCAGTGATGCCTATACATTCTGTGTGTGAAGTAGTCTTTATTTTCTTCTAAAGTGATGTTCTACATAAATTTCAAGTAACTCTTGCTAGATTAAACCCAACGCTTATATAAAAGCTGAATTTCAGAGAATGAATTACAGCACACAAAAAAGTCCACTAATTGTAGCAGCTCTACATAATTTACAAGAAAAAATTGAGGCAACTGTTGGGTCTGGAACCCTAAAGCAGATGAGTGAGTATCCCTTCCTCCCCCCTCCCCAAGGAGAGCACGTCTCTTCTACATCCTGAGAAGAGTTGTAAACCTGCATTCCTGCAATTCTGAAGAGACACCAAGTCTGATAGATCTGCCACTGGGCTGTTGAGCAAAATGCTCTCAAGATTGAGTACCCACCCCCTCCTACCCCATAAGGGCAAACAGACCAGTTCATCTAAGAAAGCCCAGGAATCCACGGCCAATGAAAAGAACTCACCTAACCCAGAGTTAAACGTCCATAAAAACCCCAGCCTTCACCTGAGCAGGGAGCCACTGGTTTCCCGGCTCTGCTGCACTGTTCTAGCTGTAGCCTTTCTTTTTTCTCTATAAATCCTACTTCCTATACCGGCTTTGGCTCACAAGTCAATCAGCTGCCTCCAGAGCCAGTTCTCTGGCCTGTGAAGGCAAAGACCCTGAACGCTGGCCCAGAACAGCTCACACCGGCATGTAACAATGGTACAGTTAGAAGGGCACAGCTGGAGAGCTGAGCTGCCTTTTGGCAGACTTAAACAAAATACTGTGTAACTGAATTGTAACATGCATATAAAAGTGCACACTCACAGAATTTCACTAAAAAACGTTAAAAAAAATCTTCCAATTACCGACACCTACAGATAATTCTATTTCTAGAATAGAATTTAGAAATAAAACTATTACTGCACATGATAGGAAATTTAAATAGGATGAAAAGTTACATACTGATAAGACTATCTCATTTATGAAACGTTTCCTATTCTTTGTCTAAATTCGAATTTGTCTCTACATGGTTTCCCTATTTTACTTAAACAGGAAAAAAGAGGCAGAATTAACTTTTTGAACGCTTTATGTTTGAAAACCTTTAAAGTCTTCCAGATTCATTATCACAGTAATTTAAACCATCCATATGCTTATTTAAGATATGCAAGCGTCCGCACAAAAGCTCGCTCTCCTGGGTGGACAAGAGAAGCGTGACAGCGAAGCCCCCGCACGTCTCGCCGCCTGCTGGGGGCGGGGCGTTTCGCGCCCTACGCGCGCGGGGACGAAGGAGGCGGGCAGGGGCGGCTCTCACCTCAGGCAGGGAAAGGGCCGGGGCGTGGTCGAGACGCTCGGCGGAGCTGAGGTAGTCGATGCGGTTCCGGGGACTGGCAGCGAAGACGCTGTCGGCCCTCGTAATGTCCTCCAGGCTCGGGTCGAAGGTCTTCAGGTGAAGGTCGGGCATCGTGTCTGGGACGAGGTGCTGCTGGAGTTCCTGCAGCGGGTAGACTAATTTCGTCAGTTGTCTCTGTGGCAGTCGTAGCACCTCAGCAAAGGTCTGGGACGTGCTGGAAGCTCTGCTCAGGCGCCCGAGCACCGTAGATGTCGCTAAGAGCCTTTTTATCCGAAACTGCAGTCCAAGTGCCGCCATTTTTCTCTCCCAGAAGCCCCGCGGCGGGCCTGGTTGCCGGGGTCTGGGCTGCGCGTGCGTGAAGTGGGCTGCCGCGGTGTCTGTTGGGACTTGTAGTCTTCCAGAGCCTTTCAGTGCTCGCTCCTGCGTAAGCTCTTCGCCTCCACAGCGCGCGGGAGGCTGGCGGGGCCAGGCAGGGGAAAGGCCTCCTGGCTTCTTTCAACACCGGGGCCTTAATCTCTGTGCCTTGGACTACAGCTTTACTGTGGGAAGGTCTTTAACCGTTTTTGGATGTGAAAGACATACCTGGCCGTGTGGTCTTTCGGTCTCAAGGGAAGGAGTAATGGTGTGAAGCTCTGGTACTATGAAGCCCGTTTGTTTTCACAGTTTCTGGTTGTCTTAAGGGAGGGTTGACGTTTGTCATACGCTCACATGACTAAGAAGAGTTGGTGAGAAATGTGGTTGGAATAGCACCTCTTTTTCAGGGAAGGGACTTCGTATCTCACCTCTTTTCTAGAGGTGCCGGAAATAACAGGGGAAAAAAAAACAAAAAACAAAAAACCCAAAACCAAACAAACAAAATCCAACCCAAACAATTTGGCACAGGTATTACAGAATTGATTCATGAAAGTTCCAAACATCTTATTTTCAAAAAATTCTCAAATTAATTCAAACTTATCATTGGTAGAATGACAGGTGTCCTTTGATGAAATGGATAACTGAAAAATAGTCTTGTGTAAACAACGATCTTGTAAAACGCCAGCAGAAAACAGCACAAAAGTGGTAATTTTCAGCTTAAGCTGTTTCCCAGTTTGTCCAGTAACTAAACAGGGCAATTCTTGAATAAACACGATTCAAATATTACTAAGCAGAACCAGTGAATTGAGGAGTTAGCCAACACAGCAAGGGAACCTGCTGCTGGCTGGCTTTTTTTTTTTTTTTAATTAATGTTTGCATTAGGCTTTGAGGCTCCCCTCTATTTCCTAGCCTTACTCCCCCCTAATCAAATACTGTATTGTATACAACCAGAAACCCAAGACACATAAATTACTGTGTATTTAAAAGACTTGGAAAGTGTTTTTACATGTGTCATTTTATTTCCAAACACTGGAGCCTCAAGTTTGGAAATCAACCAGAGCAAAAGGACTTTGAGCAATTCTTAGAGGAGTTTGGTAGGTGATTATAGGACATTAATGGTTACTTGTTTTTGAAATCCTTCATGGGACTAAAATCCTAAATCATTTTTGGATTTCGTTTGACAGGACAGTCTCTGCAACCTAAATTGTCTTATCATGCAAAGATTGGGAAGTCAAACAGATAATCCACTGAAAATACATATAAGTAGGAAAAAACACTTTACTATTTAATCATCTTTTTTGTCTATTTCATTCCATTCTTTTAAAACATCTATGTAAGTCAGGTGTATAACATTTCAGAAAGATGGTTTAGAGTCAATAGATGATCTGTTTTTTCCTGACACAGGGATTAAACTCTTCCTTAATTTTCAGCGCAGGCAAGGTCAATCATGAAACATGCATAGCAATAAGACCAACTAGTGAGAGGGGAGGAGAAAACTGGAATTGGGAGGAATTAGCTTAAGAGAAATAACTGTTGCAGAGCTGTAATGGAAATCATAGTGACTATAAGGAATTATCAAATTCCAGGAAAATCAAGCCAAAATCCATATCAAAAGGGCATGAAATCTGGTAGCTGAGATGTTGGCAATAGAACTTTGGGTTCTGGCAATACCATGAATCTGATTGTTGGCAGCATCTTGGTTCCTGGCAGTCTGTATGAAGTGGAAGGTTAGTTGATAGCTATAGATCAGGAGTTATGATCTAGCTTTCTAGATCAGAGGTTGGTCAAGGCTAAGATTCAGAATAGGATTTAATCCTCGTGGGGAAGAGTAATACAGATTAGAAACCATGCTGTCTAATGCGTATCTCTACACTAGCCAAAACAGACTTCCTGATATTCTTTTATGCTCTGCTGATCTGTTCTTTTTGTGATCATTCCATCACAATAAATGGTAACTCCATTCTTCTAATTAATCCAGACAAAATTCTTGGGGAAAACTAGATTTCTTTCTCTTATACTCCACATTCAATCTGGCTGCAATTTTCTTGGCTTAACCTTCAAAGCATATCCTTTTCCAAACATGTTTTCAAAACGTTGATACCTTTTAGCACATCCACTGTTACCATCCTTACCTAAATTCCCATTATCTCACAACTAGATTATTGCAATAGCTTTCAAACTGGTTAGTCACTTTTGATTTTTGCCCCCTTCAGTATATTCTCCACACAGCAACAACCATGATCCTAGTAAAATATAATCTAAACCCTCCAACTTCTTCCTATCTCACTCAAATTAAGACCCTACATGATCTTCCTTCTCTTCCCCCAGCTATTACTTGTTTGACTTCACCTGTATTCTTCCTCTTGTCTATGCCATTTCAGCCACATTGGCTTCTTGCTTATTTTTCAAATAAGCCATATCCACTCCTATTTCTAATTCTTTATACTTCTGCCAGGAATGCTTCCCCAAGAAAAACATGTGGTTTATTTCTTTATCATTCAGTGTGTATTTATGGTTCTCCTTCTAAAACATATCTTCTGTTTTGAGAACTGAAGAGGTAATTCACCACAAAGTTAACATATTTAAAAAATTTAATTCAAATTGAATAGGCATTACATACTTTAGACTCTGTCCTTAGAGTCATTTTTTGTTGTTGTTGTTTGCTTTTTTGAGACAGGGTCTCATTTTGTGGCCCAGGCTGGCCTCAAACTCATAATCTTCCTTCCTCAGCTTCCTAGGTGCTAGATTACAGATGTGTGCCATCACACCTGCTTTAGAGTCAAGTTTTATCCCTAAACTTAATCTGGTCTATATACCATAGTTATACCCTGTCAGGTTCAGCTATTAAGAATAAGAAGATAAGTATAACAGTGATGAAATTTTACCTCTTGGACAGGATCATCTCAGTCGTTTCTTCCATAACATCTGACTCTACAGTGAATGGCCATTGGGTCCAGAATGATCCCAATTTGTGTTCAAGCCCTATAGGAATCAAGTTTAGGGAACCCATCTAAGACAGGAAGAGGTAAATACTGTAGGCCTAGATAGATAGACAGAACCATGGACATCAGAAAGTCAGCAAGCATAGTATTTACACAGATGAACTCAATCTAGTCTAAAATGCTTTGAATACCACAAAGGAAGAGACACTAGGAAAACTTATTTGTAGATGTAGAGAGAGGTAATAGATTAGGTCTGAAGAGCTTTACACAAGACATTTTCCTATAATTACTTTTGTTCTTGTTTTAGCAATTGTATTTAACATTTATTGAGTGCTTGCTTGTGTGTTGATCTGGTAACCAGAGATTAACTACAGGAAAGACCTGATCACATTCAAATTGGAACCTCAAACTCTTGTATTAGGAACAAATATTGGTGGGGAGAGAAGAAGAAAGAGGCATTGTATGAAGACGAGTGACATGAAAGAACCTCCATATGTAACTTAATTATAATATCTTGTAATAACTTGAATTGTAATATCTACTGTCTGAATGAATGATTTAAATTTCAAGTGCCTTATAGTTTTCTCAAGTTGTATGTGCAACATTTCATTTAAAAATTTTATATTAGATATCACATAGCACATTGACACAAGTTTGTGGCATATACATTCAACCTGATACATGACTTTTCCACCTCATTTTATAGTTGGCGTATAAGTTTTATACTTTAGATTTATTACATTACTATCATTGAAAAAACAACAGAAACATCTCCCCATGATCATCTTCAGGTTATCAGATCATTGAATTTCATTTATATCTCATTAATGTACCTTTAGAGATGTCACTAATGTTTAAGAGGTTTTTATTCCTTTAAAAAAGCTTTTTTGAGGTTTCTTTTAAGGTTGTGTCTGCTGCTCTGACAGATTTCTCTAAAGACATCTGGAGATTAAATATCAGACAATACTCATGTGTAGGAGGTGAGTTCTTAGAATGATTTGGGTTCTGAAGGAGGAATAAAAATTCACTTATTCAAGGTTGTTTTTGTAAGTAGAGAGAAAACCAATTGCCTTAAATAACCTTAATCTTTCTCACTGGTAGTTGTTTAGTTGATCCTCTATCATACTTGTGCTATTAAAATATTTTGGAACACTTTTTAGTATTTAATATGTGTTTTTATCTTAGTAACAAAGAGGGTTTTAGTGTTGTAAAACACGGGTTTTGCTGTTCTGACTGATTAATTCATTAGCATTTAAATTTTTATGACTCATTAGGCAAGATTGTATTGGTGGGGACTACTCTGTGGTATACCTCTAATTTGCATCTCATTGCCTTAGTGAATGTGAATTATATGCTCTCTGATACCCTGAGAAAATGGGGTAACATTCCACAGGCACATATGTTCATGTATTATTCCAATTTTTGTAACTCATTCACAGGTAATATGTCAGGTATCGCCAAGAGTAGGTCCCAAATTTGCCAGTATATTAGGAAGATTCACAAGACTCAGCATATGGTTGTACTCATGGCTATAATTTATTACGGCTAAATGATAGAAAGCAAAACTGGCAAAGGGAATAGGCATTCAAGGTGAAGTCTGGAAGAAACAGGCACAAAACTCCCAAGAGTCCTGTCAGTGAAGTTGCACAGAATACACTGAATTCACACTGAATTTTGTCAGCAACATGTGTGAAATGTCCACCAGGAAAGCTCACTGGACCTAGGAGCTCAGGGTTGTTTTGTTTTTTTAATCAAGGGCTGGTCATGTCAGTACTTAGTGACTGTGTGACTTACTATAGTTACTGAAATTCCAGATGCTCAGAAAGAAGGCAGGTATTCAGTATTGCTATAGTTTGAAACTTAAATGACCCCCAAAGGCTATGTGTTAAAGGTTTCATCAGTATCCAGGAAGGTGTTATTTGGAGGTCATAGAAATTTTACAGGGATGGCCTTGTGGGAGGTCTTTAGGTCACTGGACAGAGGGTCCTCAAAAGGGATGGTGGGACTTCAGTCTCTTTCTCTTTTACATTCAAGCCATGAAGCAAATAATTTTTGATCTGCCAAGTGTTTCCAACATTATGATCTACCTCACCACTGGCTAACTGATCATGGACTGAAACCTCTAAAATTGTCAGCCAAAACCTTTTCTCTTTATAAGCTTATTATTTCAGGTATTTTTTATAGTTACTGAAAGCTGACTAATACAAGTATAAACTAAATTGTTTGTACAAACAGTCAAAGATCAGTGAGCTACTCTTATAATTTATGGACAGTTAATTTGATCATTCTAGGGAACTTTCTGCCAGTCAAGCGCTCAGATATAAGCCCAGGGCCAGTCTTGAAGTTTTTTTTTTTATGAATACTAGTCACAGGCCTCCATGTTAACTCTTTTCTGCACATGGACAAAGGTGTAAAAATAAAAATAAAACCCAAAAGTTTTTCATTTGCACATATTGTGAGATTGTATACTTATAGAAAAGGTATACTCCTGGTTCTGTTTTAGAAACGAATTA